ACAGTTCCTAACAAATATAAGACAACTCCTGACGAATATGCTAAAGAAGTTGAAAATGACGACTAAGCAATTCTATACCATGCGTAAACTGTCATGTAAGGTGGCATGTATTCTTTACTTTGTCCCGTTGTTTGCGTATATCCTGAAACGAAATGTGTATGGTTTCCTTCTCCCTGAGTGTCATCCAGTAACAATTTATAGCAAACTTAACGTCGTCTTTAACATCATATCCTTTACCTTTTGTCATTCTGACCAATCCAATATCTATGCTTATGCCAACCTGCTTGAGATGTACTTAAATCTATGTAGTGACTGTGTGCAGGTAAATTTTCACCTGAAATCGTTTTACTTCCACCTGTTTCCTTTGAAGAGTTTGCACAATACAAAAACCTGTCGACTATTTGTTCCATGCACCAACACCAAACATTGCTTGAGGACCTCCTGCTTCCATAGATGTATAAATAGAACCTACTGGGTTCATTAAATCAAACATATGAGACATTATAGGATTGTCTCTTTTGAACTTAAAATATAGTGCAACTATTTCAGGTTTCTTCTGGTTCATGTCAGAATAATTTTTTATAATATAATCTTATGTTTTCAGGGTAGGTAAAGTCTTGACTATAATATTTATTTCTGTCATCTTCATAATAGTATACTATTCTCGTTTTTTCTATTGCATTATATCTTTTATATCTATAATATTCTAAATATAATGTTAGCTTTTGTTCATCTACATGTGGTGTTCTGACGTCATCTCCATAGTCATAATAATATGGTGTTGGAGCTGGGTCAGGCAATGTCATATCTGTCATTTCATAAACTCTTAAAATATTTCTTTTGTTCGTCTCCATATAAGTTTAAGTAGCAGTTGTTGTCTAATGGAACTTTAACTTGTGTACCATCGTTCTTTTTATAGCTTACATACATTTCATTGTTATTTTTCGGAATGAGTTTATACCGTGTACCATTTTCTAAGGACTGTACCAACTGCCATCTAAAATATTTGTTTTCTTCATTGACAGAAAAGTCACCAACCATAGTTTCAATATTTTTTGTTCCTAGCAAACTTTGGTATATTTCATTGACATATGTTTTATCTGCTTTATTTTCAAGGCTAACGTTTAAGTCTGTTATTTCAGAAGATGTATGTGTATGTCCAACGGCACTTTTTCCTGTTTAAGGTTTCTTGTAAGTTTGTAATATTTGCAATGGTATGTGTATGTCCAACGTCCTTTTCCTGTTTAAGGTTTCTTGTAAGTTTGCAATATTTGCAATGGTATGTGTATGTCCAACGTCACTTTTCCTGTTTAAGGTTTCTTGTAAGTTTGTTATTTCAGATATAGTATGTGTATGTCCAACGTCACTTTTCCTGTTTAAGGTTTCTTGTAAGTTTGTTATTTCAGATATAGTATGTGTATGAGTCTTTTTAGAATATTCGTTTTCAGCTCTTGTCACTTCACTTGACATTTTATTGTCAACATATGTTTTGTCTGCTAGTTCAGGATGAGTATGTTCTTTTGTTGCATAAGCTTTGTTAGCTCTTTTCTTCTTTTTGCTATTGCATCGTCTACATATTCTTTGTCAGCTTTGTTGCAACATCTGCTTTCAAAAGAAGTTCAGATATAGGTTTCTCGTTTAAAGTTCCTTTTGTTGGATTTATACAGACAGTATGGTTCTTATTGTCTTGAAACAGAAACTCATCTGTCATTGGGTTTAATGTCAGTTTTAAGTTTCCTTCTTTCAATGACTCAGATATCTTAGAATAGTTTGAAAAGTTTGTTGTGTTCTTATTTAGAGCTTGCATAATGAGTTGTCGGTTGTGTTGTATTTCTCTCATAGACGCTGTTTCATTTGACATTTTTATTCTAGATAAAATATGCTTCCAATAGAAAAAGAAAATTCAAGAGTTGCTACAACTAAACCATTAGATGAACTTTTTACTAATGTCGGTCAAAAGTTTGAGACAGAGACCGTAAAGCATGAAGGCTATCGTTTTGACTACCCATTAAGATGGCTAAGAGACCCATCTGTCACAAAAGCTATTGGCTTTCGTAGAATGAAGTTTGTGTCTGTAGAAGATAAAAAGTTTTCCATTTATTGTAAGGTTTCATATAGATTATATATCTGAAGGGAAACGAAAAAATGTGGGAAGAAATTGAGCTAATACAAGTTGACCTTTCATCTTCTCTACAGACTGCGTTAAAAAAAAGAAGAATAAATAAATTCATGTTATGCAAAATATGCTGATGAATATGCAAATACCGAGAGCACACTTTATGTGAGAATTGTATATGAAAACAAAATTCACAAGTGTCATTTCAAATCTACGAAGACAATCCAAAGAAAGACGAACAAATATATACAGATTCACTGCAATGTCATGGTATTATTTGCAAAGAATGTTAAATCAGAAAGTCGAACTTCCTTTAGCAAATATTTACAGTCGATATGCAAGAGATGAACCATATTTATTTAAAGATGTTTTCGACCCAGCTGCTATTATAGTTCATGCTTCATTTTCTGGCGCCCAAAACTCTTTTCTTATGCTTGGCAAATGACTTTTACGAAAAACCTACAAAGTTATACGAACCACCAAGTGGAAGTATTTCAGACTTTCAAGTATGGTTTACTACAGATGGAAGAAAAAGAATAATTCCATTATACCATGTGTTTTACTTAGAACTTAGTTTCATATACAACTACTATCGAACGGTAAAAATATAATTTTTTAATACGGTTGAGGTGTTGGATTTGGTTGCCAACTAGACTGTGGTGCAGGTTCAGGCTGTTGTATAACAGGAGCTTGTTCTTCTGGTTCAGGGTCTTTAGGTATAATACCAACGAACTGACCTACTCTTTTACCAATATTTTTTGACTCCGTTCCAAATTCCTCTTCCTACGGTTTTTATTCCATTCCATATACCTCTTCCAACATTTCGAAAGAAGTTTCCTATCTTACTGAAGAAACCCATTTTACTATATGTAAAAATCTAATGTCCGCCTAGTCCTCTTTACGTTTCCTGTTGAGTTCCATAGCATTCTTTAACTGGAGCTCATACATTCTGTTTCTCTCTGGTAGAAAAATATTCTGGGTCAACTCCTGTGTTCGCGTCATCTGCATAAAGTTGTTTATATCCCACTTCAGGGTTTGTATAAAACTCTTTCCATCTCATATTTGCATACCATGGTGGCAAACCTAACGCAGCGTCATTTGACATGGCAGTTTGCATTTGTACATCTGTTGGCACTTGACCATAGTTTGCCATTGCAGTTTGTATTCTAACTCATTTGGAATATTCTCTGGGTTTGGTTGTCCAGGTTGCTGTGCATTCGCTAAGTTCTTGTGCGTCCATTTAATATTAGATAAAAATATCTCTTACGAGTACATATACTGAACATTTGCAGGCATTGGTTCATCTTCATATTCTCTATATCTTTCTGCCACGTCAAATAAGTAAATGACACAATGGAAAAAACCTAAAACAAGTAGTCCTATTTCAAACCACATTTACTTACCAATAAAATTTCTTTGTTATGACACTTTCTCCAGTTTATAGGACCTCTCTCATATTCTATCTTATCGTATCTAAACTCATAGTCATGTATGTCCTCTAACCATCTCATGACACTTTCCAAACCACTTTTATCGGATGTAAAGTAAAAGCATGGATGGTTATGTAAAACGTCTAAAGTTTCTAAAGAGTCTCTCAAAGTCCAGTCTACTTGGTATTGAAAATCCCATGTGTTATAGAACGGCGGGTCCACTATAAAGAAAACATTTTCCTTGTCTTTATATTTTTCATACAACTCTGTCCAATGACATCTCACAAACTCTATACCCTCAATATATTTTTCTATGTTCTCTTTGAAAACATTTGTATAGTTAAGATATAAAACTTTTGACATAAGTGTTTCAATGTCATGAACTCTTATAGCACCACTATATAATAGTCTAGCAGATATACTATCCCAGTCAATATACTCTGCCTTTTTCAAAACCTCTCTGACAGTATTTTTCTTATCTAATGGTATACGTTCCATCTTACCTATAGGTATCTTTTCTTTTAACTCTTTCAATATTTTGTTTGTGTCTGGTATATGTTTGAGACGGTTCATATAGTTGTCGAAGTCATTGCATATAATCTTTGAGTCAGGAAATATTGTATGGCACAAATGAGATATATAGAAACTTCCACCGAACAAGTCTACAAATGTTAGACCATTCGGTAGTTTCTTAAGTTCTCTCAATAGAATATCTTTACATCTACTCTTATTTCCAAAGAAGGGTAACGGTGGTTTTGTAAAATTCATTTTATATATATAATAAAAATGTTTTTTCCTGAAAAGTGACAGAAAAGTGACAAAACATGTACGAAGAAGTCTTGAAAATTCAAGAGGGTAGAAAAGAGGTTAGAAAAGAGGTTATATCTAACCTTCTACCCTAAACATTATTTTTGTCTGATTTTACGAAGAAGTCTTGACAAAACATGAAAACATATATAATTTGTGAAAAGCTCCTGGAAGACCCGTATATAAGAACTTCATTTATACTAAACATCTTCGGGGCTAGAGGGCACGAAGTGCCTGGAAGCCCCACTCCCTTTTTTTTTTTTTTTTTTTTTTTTTTTTTTTTTTTTTTTTTTTTTTTTTTTTTTTTTTTTTTTTTTTTTTTTTTTTAATAAGCTATGAAGTTGTAAACAAGTTTGTCTGGTAGTATCTTATCTTCGATTTACTTTTGTGACTTACAAATAATCAGGGAAATATGGAGCTTACTAAGGCTAAATTTTCTATCAGGGATATTTGTATATATACTGCACCTCATTTCGCTTTATCACATCCGATCTTTTTGGATGGATAATATTATTATACTGAGATATCGTTGTATGACTTAGTATTTGAAAGGAAAGTGAGTCACTGCGATTCCCTTTTAGTCCTTTTAATGCCTTCGTCTATTCATTTTTTTGTGAGATTTTTGGCAGATAAACAATTTTTATTGAATGAACCAAAACTACGAGGCTTTCGTCCGGTCTTATGTAGAGCAAGAAGCAAAGCACGATCCAAGCACTCATAATTATAGCATTTATATATATTCAATCATTTGTATTGGTTTCATTCTTTTAGGAATTTCCACATTTTCAAATGTACTTCCGGCAACACTTTGCACCATTGTTTCAATTATTGGAACATTAATGTCATCATTAGTTTTAATTGTTTTCTGGGATCTCTATCAAAAAACTCTAAAAACTCGTAGTTTGGATGAAATAACTGACGTTTCACAAGAATCGGGAGTTTGAAAATATATCGCTACTCACTTATTCATTAAATCATCGAAATCAAAGCAAATTATCTCTACAGATTTTGTAATTTTAATTTAATCGAAGAATTTATTGGCTGTTATTGATTGACAAGTTACTTTTCAAGAGGTAATTAATTTGCTTATATTCGATTAATATTTATTAGTTACAATATCAAAATAATTTCATTTTATTTAATTGGAGGTCCTCCATGACCTTTCGAATGTATATTTTGTTTTTGTAAAACTTTACCATGTTATCCTACATTCACATTATTCTTTTTCAACTTTTTATGAAATTATTTGAAAAATTGAAAAAATTTATTTGAGTGTTGAGATGCATTAACGTGGCGATTAAGAAAATATGGATAGATGTTCCTTTGTGAGAAGCAATCAATACTATTAATTATTAATTTTCGAATGAATAAGGAAATATAACACCATCTCTTTATGTATCGTCCCATAATAAAGATTTTATGACATTTTGAATTCTACTTTAGACTTTCGCAAATTTTGACAAAAGATTTCATGAATTTATGAACATAAATTGATAATTCATTGAAATATTTAAATATAGATAAAGTGGATTTAATATAGCACTATGGTCATAAGCAAGGAGAATAGAACTGTTCAATTTCCAAGCAAAATAAAAGGAATTCCAAGCGAATCAATTTTGAATAGTTTATAATTTAAAAAATTGAGAGAGTTTGTTTGAAAAAAATTAAGCAGGGTCGAAATCGAAATTGAGGAGACACAGAGCCTTACAAGATTTTATGAATCTTGAGGATCTTCTAGGCTTTGAAAGTGAAATTCAAGAGGAGCGAGAGAGATCATTTAAGCTCTTTAATGAAGCTATCATGAATAGAGAGTTTATTGATCAACTTTTCGAGTATCTTAAACTCGAATTAGAACCAAAGATCCGATTTCTTGTAGAATCATCAATCCTCAGAGTTATTAAGATAAATTACAACCAAGAATCCCTATTTTGGGACTATGATCAGCAAGTCAGAATTCTAAATACATTAGTCGAGTACGCATTAAGCGTTCCATACCAAAATTCCCAAACAGTTGTTGATGCAATACGTCATATTATCATGAGTTCAACAGTCGCAATCATAGAACAAGTTAATGAAATCTTCGAGTTATTTAATACAATGACACAGCAACACCAGTTCCTTATTCTTCTTCAAATCATGTCATTTTGGACGAAATTAGTATCAATTACCCCTCTTTCCGATGAAGAAACTGAAAAATTTGGAGCCGCAATTGAAGAATTCAACGCAAAAATTGTTCAAGCATTCATCCCTATTACACAAGCGTTTTCAGAAGACCTTACGTCTACACCTTATCCTTTAAAAATTCTTCGTGTAATTTCAAAATGTTTAATTTCACTTTCAGCAAAGAGCGAAGCCATATTCTACGACGAGAGCTTTGATAACTTACTCGGACTGTTCATACAAGCCATACAATTACCATCAGAAAACATGGGAATTGTCAAATTAAAAAGATCAATTTCGAGATTATTCATTATTCTTTGCAAATACTTCTTAGGCAAAGACGAAGAATCACCAGAAGAATCAATCAGAGTAGAATACGCTAATCATTTCCAATCAGATATCGCTCCACAATTTATTGATATTATTGTTTACGTTTTAGAGAACGATACTGATGATTTCCTTCATGGAAACATTCTTTACTTATTATCTCAACTGTTATTCCACAGATTAATCCCTGTTGAAGACATAACAGCAGAATTTGTTTCAAATTTCATCATAAAAGCCGCAAGACTCTCAGTAGACTCAGTAAATGAGCATATTACAAACCCACAGCAGTATATTGGCTTCTATCTCCATTATTCTACCAATGAATTAATAAATCGAAGAAGAGGATGCGCAAAAGTCATCGAAGCTCTTGTAAAGAATTACGGAGGTGTCGAAGGTGATGAGAACTCCTACCAAATCATTGATATGCTCTATGAATTGCTTCTTGCGCCGACATCTGATCCATTTGAATTTGAATCACGTATTTACTTGATGACAAGATACATAAGAGACACAAATACACCTATGGGACCAATGGTAGACCCACAAATCATTGAAGCTCTAGCAGAAACAGCAAGTAAACTAGTTGAAACATTGGCTAAAGAATCTAACGGCCAAAAAAGTGACAAGGCCATTGACAGGACATTTGTTTTAGCCTCATTATTGATGCTTATGAGACATACTCTACCTTATATGGATCCAAATATTGGAATTTCGCTTGGCGTTCATTGTATCACTTTATCCAACGATGAAGTTGTCATTACGACCGCAGCAAAGCTCATAAGGACATCCATAGAAGAGAGTGATATGGGAGAAGCTGATTTCGATGTAATAGAAATCATAAAGAAATTATTAAATTTCTTATCTTCCAATTCACCATCCATTCCTATGGCCATTCGTGCTCTTATGCGTCTTGGAGGCCCATCAGCCACTCCTGTTGCCAGAGAAGTCATTACAGGAATGCTTGAATTCTGCATCGACAGCAAAACAGAAGAATCCGATGGAGATTTAGAGAAAATAACTTCATCATTCACTTCTGCAGCTGAAATCATCGCTTCCCTTGAGCATGACCAAGATGCTTTGGCACAAACAGCTGAACAAATATTACCAATGGTTGCTGAGTATTTCGTTAATCATCCAACAACGAAATGTTCCGATGAAATACTCTACATTTTGGCATCATTGAATACAAAGAACAAAATTGCAATTCCTGCTGTTTATCAAGCATGTACAACAATTGCAAACATTATATCAGAAGATGAAGTATATCTTTTACATGCTGAACAGATTGCTTGTGCTTTTTGTCCTCTAATTCTTTTGGATAGTTCTGGATGCGATGCCGAAAAAGCTGAATTTAGCAGTTCTTGTTTCAAACTGTGCAACAATATTTTGCAAGTTTGCAACAAAGAAACAAATGAATTAACATCAAGAGATAGAGGTTACGCATTAGTTTTAGCTTCTTGTTTAGTACAATCCGCTGGAGAATCAGCTGTTATCTTCTTACCAGCAGCTTTAGAAGCAATTACTCTTGTTGGACCTGATGATTCATTGTTGTATTCGTCTGCAACATTGATGATTGTTTCTTGTTTCACGGCTTCCCCTGAAACAACAAGTAACGCAATTTCCAATGATTTGGCAAATTACGTCAGAACATCAGTATCAGAGAAATTGCTTCCAACATATAAGGAGTTCAAGCTCGGATTTGCTTTGCTCCTTTACTTGGCAAGGTCCGAAAGACAGCCTTGCTACCAGAGAGCTGTAGAACTCATCAAAACACTCTCGGATTTGAAAACAGAAGAAGAAAATATGTCAGAATTAAATGGCGGAGTTATTGAATCAATGATTTTGCCATTCCAAATGCCAATAGAGAACTTGAACGAGCTTGAATTGTTTGGCGCACTCACAGATAAGTATTTTAACACTCTTAACCCCAAACTTAAGAAACTTGTCAGAAATATTTTCCCTATGTAATTTTTTTTATTAGAAATAAAGCTATTTTATCTTTTTATACTTTTATAATTTGTATATATATATATACTGTAAGTAATCATTTATCAAGTGATATTGCTATCATCCGAGATGAATGTGATCCAGAAATGAGGCTATAACATTCAGCTTGTCTGCATAATATTAGGATCATTCTAGATTGGAAAAAAAGTAAAAAAAGACGATCAAAATTCTCTCAATTTTCCACTTTTTTTGCAATGATTCGGCATGTGTTTTTCTATTGCAGGCTTTTTAAAGCTAATAAACTAACATTTATCAATAAGGGTGGTAATATTAAAGCACTTTTATACTGATATTTGTTGATATAATTTTTAATATTAAGGGTGCCGGAAAGTGGGGTGACGCTATTTCGAGTATTGCTCATAACTTCATTTGTTGTAAAGATATTAATGATATTGAAACATATATTAGTAGTGTATATACTAAGGTTTTTATTTCTATGATATTGAGGTCTTGGATACTTCCAGTATGAAGAAAACTGTTTCGCAATTTTCGAACTTGCGGACCTATCTAGTCCCTGGTTATTCCATGGCAGGGGATGATACTGCAGGAATGATATCTAGGTACAAGATACTAGATATTTTATAGAAAACATTTGGCATTTGTTAAAAAGTGTCGAGATGCAATTAGTGGGTAACTTCAAAACTAAGACCGATTGCACTACCATCTCACTGGATTCTGCTAATTACCATTAGGGAACAAACCCAATGGTAGTGGTTTCCAGTCGAAATGGTCTCATTCAATGTTTAATTAGATTTGTATCTAGTCCTCCAATATTGTGTTTAAGCCAGTGAGACACATTAAACACAAAATTTCAATAGTTATACTAAAATTTTTACAGAACAAATTTTATTTTCAATTCTCATATGCTGAGATAAATGCACTTTTTCCCTTCCAGACTTTAAAATTTTTGTATGATTTTTGTATGTTTTCGATAACCTTATAATCATAAACATTGTTTTCACTTAGTTTGAATATGATACTATGATACATCATCACTTAAGGTTTATACTCATATAAACAAAACAAAATAAAAATGATTTTATGGGTTTGAAAAGTGTTGTTTTTATAATAGCTTTCACTTCACTTTCCGGCACCCTTAAGAAAATTAGAGTTGTCGAAATTTATAACAAAACTGTTCACTTCACACGGGGTCTATATCAAAGCTTAGCAAAATGTTTTTCTATCATATATTTCTATCATATAAAGTTGTTTGAAAAGTAAAAAAATTATTTTGGAAAAAAGGTGGGAAATTGAGAGAATTTTGATCGTCTTTTTTTACTTTTTTTTCCACTCTAAAATAATCCTAATATTACTTTTACTTTTTATTATTATTATTTTCCCTTACGATTCAATTTCCTTATAGTTCCCCACTTTTAGCATCCTTATATTGAAGTCTATCGTCCCAAATTGGGGACTTAGCTTTATTGCGAAATAACATAAAAAAATTTCGAACACTCATGAAAACTTAGATTATATAAAATTAGGGATGCGTTAAACACGCCATTTGACCGGGCGTTAGGGTTGTTAAAAATATCAAAAATTAGCGTTTTGAAGACACCATGGTGTCTGATAATTTTCCCTTCCTTATTGGCGTGTAGAAATAAATGCGCCAATAGATTGAAGAAGAAGAATTGTTTTTCTCTTAATGAACTTTAATCCTTTTGATATAAGAATATTAAAAACATTAATATAATTTCGATTTCGGAAATTAAATTTCCAAATTTTTTGTCGATTTCGGAAATAACAGGATCCCGCATCCAACACGCAACAACAAAACACAAAACACACTTTTTGGTTCTTTCATCGTTTTAATCGTAATTTATGTCATACATGATTTGGATAAATTTTACAAAAATAAAAAAAAGGTAGTGGGGCTTCCAGGCGCGTTGCGCCCTCTAGCCCTGAAGATGTTTAGTATAAATGAAGTTTATATTCGGAGGGCTTCCAGGCGCGTTGCGCCCTCTAGCCCATAAGAAATTTTTCCCAAGACCCAAGAGGAGGACCGAACCCCAGCCGACCAGCCGTTGACTTTTTTGTAGAGCACTCAAAATAGTATAACTTTGTCCGGACAAATAAGGGTCTATCGTCGCTACAAAAAAAGTTACAGACGTTCCAAGGAAGTATACTTTGAGAAGCCTTTTCCCCCTTATAGAATGAGATAGGACGGTTATTTTACAAAACTGACAACACTTTGACCGAGTAGTTTTTTGTGCTGAACAAAAAGTGTCATATAAACATCTGTCAAAAACCGTTTTTTACTTCACTTAAAATGCCACGTAAGCTACGTAAGAATATACGTAAGAGGAAGGGAGCATTGAAACATCCAATAGTAAAACTGACACCACAACAAAAGTTGCAACAACAAATGATGAATGACCCCACTATGTTGCAACAAATGTCAAGCAACCCTATGCTTTTAAACCGAGTTATTGGTGCACAGAGTGGAGGTTTAAGAGCGGCACTTTTAGCGAAAATGGCAGGCTATGGTGGAGCTGCAGACGGAACAGCTTATAACCCTCAAAGTCAAATGAATTTGAGTTCACTCAAAAATCAAATAGCAGATGTCAAAAAGTCAAACATAGACATACAGAAACAAATAAGTGAAAACGAAAAGAAACTAGAATATGACAGACACACAAAGAAACTCAATGAGTTAAACGTAGAGAAAAAGAAGAAAGAAGAACAACTGAAAGAACTAAGTACAGAGGAATATGCAAAAAAAGTGTCAGAAAAAGCAGCAGAAGTAGCAAAAATGGAACAAGATGTTATAAATTTGAAAAACCATACTACTCAATATAAAGTACTGAAAGATGAAGAGATAAAACAAAAAGTCCTGAAGACATATATGGATAGCGATGAGTATAAAAAAGAAGTTGAAGCAAATGTAAAGACAGAAAAACTTTTACAGTTGCAAAACCAAACCGTACAGTATGAAAACTTAGCACAAGAAAGTAAAAATAACGACGCAGCCATGCAAAAGGCAATGAAAAGCGCAGAATATATAAAAGCTAATAATGACTGGTTAGATGCCCAAGCCAACGCTAAAGCAGCCCAACTTATAGGGTCAATAAGGACAAAAATACAAGCGGATGAAGACAGTTCAAATGAAGCTTTAATGAATGCTGACTTTAAGAATGCCTTCGAAGCTCTTCATAGTAAGGTGAAACTAGTGAACGACTTCTCATCTGGAAAGAAACTGAAGTCTGAAGGTTTCGACAAAGAGTTAAGAGAAGTAGCACAAAATATGACGAAAATAACAGATGCAGCAACGAGACAGGCAGTTCAAAGTGCCTATGACGCCGTTAGAGCAACTGTTGTGGAAAGTCAAGAAAAAGAGTTACAACAGACCAAAACAGACCTAGTAAATGCTTTCTTAAAAACGAAAAGTCAGGTAGGACATTATGCTGCAGATGGAACATATGTGCCAGCTGGTGGAACTTATATACCACCAAACCCTCCAAGAGAAGCACCTGCACCAGGACTACCTAAAACATTTACATCGTCACATGGACACAGACACAGGCATGCACCAAAACCAACAGTTCAAAATCCAGCACCACAACAACAACCAAAACCAACAGTTCAAAACCCTGCACAGCAACCAACAGTTCAAAATCCAGCACAGCAACCAACAGTTCAAAACCCTGCACAACAACAACCACAAACAGAGCAAGGACATAAAAGAAGTAGAGAAAAAGGAAACCAAGAATTCTTAAAAATGCTTAAGGAAGATTATGGTTACCCAGATACTCTTGACTTTAGTGACAGATATAAAGAAGCTATTAGAAAGTTCAAGGAAGGAAATACTGACCCGAACCTATTTAGCTTTATGGTTCAGCACCAAATGGGATATAATCTCAAACCTGGAAAATACAAGCTCGCTAAGGGATATGATTTAATAGCATATCATCCAAATGACATGAATGAATTTACTCCGAGATATTTGGTGTCAGAGCTAAATGATAATTCAACTCTCTTCATGAAACGCGTAAAAAATAGAGACGGAACGAAAGAAGAAAGGTTTATGAGTCCGGATGACTTAGATAGGGAACTTTTTAAAAACGGTCTCGGAATATATGAAATGCCAGCAGATGAGGTACAAGAAACTCCACAGGAAGAAGTTCAGATACAACCAGACATGGAAGAAATAGTTCAGCAACAACAGCTAGAAGAGCCTGAAGGAAACGAACAAGTCCCTCCTTTGGAAACTAACTTCACAGAACTAGATGAAGATTTGGAACAGCCGAAAAATCTTGACCCTCAACAAGTGTATGCGGAGAATATGGAATCTTTCCAAGAGTCTAAGAAAAATTCGGCTGACATAGTAGAAGAATATCGAAAAATGTTCGCCGACATACAAAAGACTCCAACATCAGATGAAAATATTCAGCATAGAATGGAAGTACTGAAAGAAAATGTACGCAAATACAACAATCCTTTTTACTTACGACCATATAACGTTCAATCTTTGGCTGAACTCGGTGAAAATAAAAGGTTAAATTTCAACAAAACATATAGAAATGAAACATTGTTTAAAGTTCATTCAGAACCTAACCAAGATGGAAACAAACCTACTTTTGTTTCTGCAGACTATGGAACTACAATGAAATGGGGTCATAAAGCTAATCCGGATAGGTGGTTCATAAACTTACAACCTCAATTCCAAGAAGTTGTAGACGCAATGGAAGTGAATGGTGAACCAGATATAGCTGGTATTTTAAGCGCGGCTTTAATGCCATTGAAAGATATGAAAAATGCAGATATTTTGGACCAGTATGAAATGAACATGGCTGATGGAAATATAACACCTGACGTTCTAGAACATTTATCTCAAAGAACTACACAGAACCATAGAGATGGTATATTTGGTGAAGAGTTTAGAAAGAAAGTTAGGGAGATAGAAGGAAGAGAACCTATTGTACATGACCTTGCAAACGAAAGTTTGCAAAATGTCATAAAAACTGACTTTGCAGACAATGAACTGAGAAGGGATGAATATTTAAGAAAACTCAAATGGACAGTACCAAATGAAATGTTAGTATTGAAAAACATGTTCCATGACAAAATAAAACCAACTACAGAAATAAATGACGCAAGACTGAAACATTGGGTAAAAGCTTTCCCATTCACAAAAGATATTATTGGTAACATGGAAAGAAAACCAGAATGGCTACAAAAACATATATTTGGAAACGAGCTTATTCCATATGGACAAGCTCTGTTTGAAGAGCTTGAACCGGAAACTCAGGAAAGAGTCATGCAAACAATAAGCGAAGACTCAAGTACAAACTATGACAAAATCTTTCTAGGATATAGGTTACCTGAGATGGGCGACCAGAGCCCAAAGGCAAAAAGGACATGGGAAATTTACAACATATTAGGTGAACATGAGGCAAAGATGCAACAACTTGAAGCAGAGGGCAAGTTACCAAAAGCGACACCAAAGAAGAAGAGAAGAGTAGAACAAAGTGAAAGTAGTGAAGAAGTAACTTCATCTAGTGAAAGTAGTGGCAATGAAGGAAAAAGAAGAGTTAAAAACTCAGTCAGGAAGAAAGTAAAGCTTGGTCCGAGTGGGTTCTATTATGATATATAAATCCAACTATTCTATATTTTTACCCATATGAAATGTACGCCGCTCAGAATATAACGCCAACAGTTTTGGATGCCATGAACGGAAATGTTTCGAATGGTATAACGAATGCGACAATGCCATTAGAAGGTCAGAAATAGTTCCTGGAACTTACGAATATACAACTGCTGTTTCTTATGGAAACGTAGGTGAGTTTGGAGAAGGTTCTTCAACAACAGTAGATATTGCTTGCGACAGGTTTCATATTCTTTCTATTGACAACTCATTCTTATACGTGGAACAAGACATTGAAATAAAACCTTCTGCCAAGTTGTCTGACAAGAAAGGTTGCAATGGAATTTTCTATGTCGGATACCAATATGCTCCAGAAGTTTTCATGGGATATAAGATATATTCTAACTCTGACTTAGTTCAAACAGTAACATGGGCAAACTATGAATGGTTCGCTTTGAGAAACTCAGTACAACCACAAGCTAGAGAACAAACAGACCAGTATGCAACTATTGAGAAAATAAGAAGACTTGACCCTAACGTTCCAGGAGTTTATGTTAACCTTTCTGGACAAACTGCAGCAGCAGTAACCAAAGTAAAACTGAAACTTAGAGTTCCTTTGTCATCTTTCCTCATCTTCAGGTTTTTAAGATACTTGCCAAACTGGGCAGGAAAAATTTCTATCGAACTTACTCCAAGCAAAAATAACTTAGTCATTGCACCAACACAAGACCCATTCAGCATTACTGTAGCTGGAACCGGTGGAGCCAAGTTCTGTGACTTTTGCAAAGACAAAGTTGACTTAGACTTTGGTTTCTAAACCTCAACACTGAAGTAAACTATTATTTCAATGCTGCTGGAGATGCTTGGGACCCAGTTAAGTTCACATGCGAACAGTTTGAATGCAAGAGAATAGAAAGCAGACTTGCAGTCTATATGTTGGACCCAGATATTTCAAATGCTTTAGCTGCCAAATATATTGCAGTTCCACTTATGTTCCCTAATACACCAAAATATCTGTCAAAGACTTTGCAGGTGAAGTTGGAAACCAAAGTGCTGACCCAGGTGCAAGAACAGATATTGCTTTAACAACTGCAATGAAACATGCAGATACTATGTTTGTACTGTTCAGACGAACTATAAATGACTATTCTTGTTTCTACAACCCTGGTATTAAATATCATATAAACATAGATGGCAAATATTATCCAAGAGAAGAATATTCTACAGTTGAGGATATGAGGTCATACAACTTGACATTAGATGCTATGAACTTTAACAACAACTTCACAACAACCATTAACCCTGAAATGCAAAGTTCTATTATGCCATATGTGAAAGTATGGACTCATACAGGAGGTCAAAAAACTCAATATACAAATGGAGACCGTTCAAACTTTTGGCTTGGCATTCCATTTGCTGACTCAGAAGACTTTATGGGTGGTATTTCAACTGTTGGTACAGTTCAAATACAATATACTGGTGACAGAGACGGTCCAGATGAATTGAAAGCAAAGAAGTTTACAAAACCAATAGCACTTTTCACGGAAGATGCTCTTTTGAAGATTCGTTCGATGAAACCTGCTGGGGCTCCTCAGATTGGCATAACGACAGCTTCCGTCGAGCAGATTTTGGCAGCAGGTCAGTAAGTTGTTCTTGAACTGACTTCTCTCCGTCAAATATTGACAGTACGCCAGTTTTGACATAATATTGTATTATAAACTTTCCTTTAGTAATATCTGTAAGTTTTGAAGTTATATTTTTGTCTGCTTCAAGAACTTTCACCATTTCAGTTATACCAACTTTCTTTGCTTTATGAAAATATTTTGGTTCAGCAAATATTGCTATTCTATAACATTTTCCATTGTTTGTGTAAAGAACTATTCTGTCAATGTATTTGTATTGTTTGTGAGTATAAACTTTGTTCTGCTTCAATTCAATAAATATCCGAATACGTCCATCTTTTTATTCTAAGTAAAATGTCATTTCCGAAAATAGAAGCGTAAGTGTTTCAAAAGGTTTAATGGCGGTGGCAGATGTGAAGTTAAATTCACCAACTCAAACAAACAGTCAAAGTGTTATTGTCAATGTCAAAGACAGAGATGTTGAAGTGGGGAAACCATACAAAGACGAAGATGGTATAACAATTGTTCCTGTAAAAGAACCAACATATCCTGAAGTTAACAGAGACTTAAGTTCTGTTGCAGATATTCGAAACGACTACCAACAACTGAAAGACAAACTTCAAACTCAGGAGAAGATTTGTCAAGCTTTAAGTTAATGTTAAACTTGTCGAACACAACCCTGTAAAAGTGAACTCATATGTCATTGCACCTCATGAAGTTTTGAAAGAACTATTGAAACTTTTGAACAGAGGCAGACGATATAAACATCAAAGAAATAGAACCCGACATTAGTTGCTGTGGTGTTTTCATATAATGTCATTGACAAGATATACGTTATGAAAGGAGGTGAAACGTTGAACTTAAAATATAGTTTCCCAGACGTTATAAAAATATTTGACGACCACAACATTTCATTAAAATTTATTTGCTAAGTAAATGGCAGAAGACATAATGGTTTATACTATTACGACTAAAAACCCTGAGTCATATAATTCTATAACAACAAACTTACAAAGTCCTCAAGGACGATATTGTAAACTAACCTTAAACACAATGACGACTAAAGCCTGTTTTGCTCTTTTGACACCAGAAGACTTTATTGTGAATGGTAAAAAATACTCCTTTGAAGATACTTACTCAGATATACCACCAACAGGTTTTGTTGACTTATTTAATACTTTAAGTACAGGTGTAACATGTGCTGCAACTAGAGCAGGTTTCATTATGTTTGGATGTCCGACTGAGTTTACTATAAACAATATAGCTATAATACAAAACTTATATCTGGTTTTTACTACCAACAGTTTCCTATAACAGGAAAAGGTGTCATACAAGGAATGTCTATTCCATTGACATTAAGCACACCAATCTTATATATTGTTTCAAACTTAGGTTCAAAGTGTTATTCGAATGTCGACAGAAACTATTATGACCAAAAGATACTTATGCGTATAAACAATACTTTCTCTGCTGGTTTGCCTATTGTTCATTCGAATGCAGAATTTTCAACCTTAGTGAACTCAAACACTTTGGCAAGTATAACGTTGACATTAGTTGACGCAAACTTTGTTCCTGTAAAACTTTTATGTCCTATGTATTTGTCAATGACGCAGAAAGTTTCGAATTGGAAGATGCAACTGGTGAAAGTATTGTATTACAAGAACAACTTCAACAACAAATAGCTCAAGAACAACAAATGCAACAAATGGAACAACAAAGTCAAGAATAAAAAAATATTATTTTTTTTTATTTTTATAAAAATGTACAGAATAGATGTTTCAGATTTTTATGACTTCCAAGCATTCAGAAATATGTGTCCATTTCGAGACTATAACAAAGCAGTCGAGAATTTGAAACGTTTAGTCATTTATGTCGACTCTGCCCCAGAATGTTATGTTATGAAAGAATGGGATGTTGTCTTTAACAAACCAAGAGCAACAATAGTGTCTGAACAAGAATGTAGACAGAAACTTAAGAAAATAAAAGTTGTACAAGTTGGAATGAAGATGTTAGATGCTTGGGATATCTTATTGTCAAAACTTGAAGATTTTTCAGTTCGTGGTATAAAGTTTTATACACCTTCTCCAAACTTCTATTCTATCTTCACTGGATATAAATATGAACAAGTAGAATGGAAACACAGTATTATAGAAGCTTGGTTAGACCATGTCAAAGAAATTATATGCAATGGAAACGAAAGAGTCTATGAGTATATCTTATGTTGGTTTGCAAACATCTTACAACATCCAAGTGCTAAAAATGAAACTGCTCTCATTATAATTGGAAAACAAGGAACTGGTAAGAACACATTCTTTACAGATATCTTGTGCAAACTGTTAGAAGGTTATTCGAATCCGAATATGACAAACTTAGAAAACATCTGTGGCAAGTTTAACTCCTCAATAGAGAATATGAAACTTATAGTTTGCAATGAACTTCAAAGTATAGATACAACAAAAGTTTTGAACTCAAATGCTTTGAAGAGTCTTATAACAGACAAAGTTGGAGTTGTTGAAAGAAAGTATAAACCAAAGAGTTAGTGAAAATGTTGCAAACTTCATTATGGTTTCAAACAATGCTGTTCCGATGAAGTTAGAAAGTTCTGACAGAAGATATGTAGTTGTCAGAACGTCAGATTCTCATATGCAAGATACAGAATATTTTGACGACTTAGCAGAAACTTTGACATCTGACTTTTACAACCACTTGTTCTCATATTTCATGACATTAGATATTTCTAAGTTCAATCCAAGACAAATTCCACATACCGAAGAGAGACAAACATTGTTAGAAGCAAACAAGAGTGTATATGAACTGTTCATAGATGAAACTGACTTTGTGTCATTAGATGAAAGGTCTTTATATGATGAATATAAACAATATTGTCAAGAATATGGTTATATGGCAGCTTCTAAACGTACATTCTTGGCAAATGTCAAAAGTCTTTTAGATGTTCAGAATGGTGTATATACAAAGAAAATTTTTTCTGAGTAAATTAAAAAAAAATATTTTTTTATCCGATAGAAAAGATGACGAAATTCATCTCAGTAAATAAGTACATGACAGAAGTCAAAGATAAGTTAGCTCCATTCGCATATTTGAATGTTTACTTCTACAATTTTGAAAAGTCTACATTTGACAAAATTTGGAACATTGCACCAGTTAAGTTTGCTGTTGTTAGAAAAAGTGGTGCAACTTTTGAAGACTTATACATTGACGGTATGTTGACAGTCAAAGAAAATTTTGACAGAAAGTTCTCAAAACTCGAAGAAGGTAAAGCATACAAACTTGTTATACCTTATGAACCAAAGAAAGCAGACGACTATGAATATTATGAGTCTAAGATAGTTGAAGTTCAAGGTAAGTTGGGTAAAAAGATTTTAGAGTCTAAGCCAGTGTTTACTCCTAAAGAGGAAGAGAACATTGACATTGACCCAGAAATGTTCTAAAAATAAAATTTTATTTTTACATATCAAATTTCTTTTTCTCTGGAACTGGTTCAGGTTCTTTCTTCTCTTCTTCTACTTTCTTTTCTTTCTTCTTCTTTTCTGGTGGAGTTATGTCAAATTTGGCGCAACCATATTTATGTAAAAGTTCTTTGTCCTTTAATAGCTCATCTATTCTGTTTTCTATTTCATCTTCAAGAACAGCGCATGTGTCTTCTTTGCATTCTAAGAACTTTTGTTGGACTTCATCTTTCCAATCGGCGTCATCTCTGTCAACAAGCCTGTCATTGACAAATTTTAAGACTGCTCTGCTTAATGTTTTATGGTTCTTGTCATATTCCCAGAAACAGAACTTTAGAACAAATTCACCTTTCTTGTTTACACTATGTAAGATTTTATGGTCGACAGATGTTTTGCTGTCAAAAAGTTTGTCTCGAATATAGATAGCGAAATCGCTAGACATTTTCTAAAAGATAAAAATTTTAATTTTTCTAAAATATGTTAGAAAAAAAGTTTGCTGACATTGACAAGAAATTTGAGAATGTTTTAAACAAGAACAAGAGGAAGTTAGAAAATGCTCAGATAAAGCCTATACATGAAAAGTTCTTATTTGCTCAGAATGGTATAACAGGTCTAATTGCACCACCTGGGTCTGGTAAGACTTTCACTTATCTTAAAATGGCTGCACAACAACAAGAACTAGATGAGAAGAACCCATTCTATGAGTTAGTTGTTATTTGTAGTACTTCTGGTCAATTTGACCAAACCGTCAATTCGTTCAAAGATATTATAAAGAAGTCTAAGTTAGTATGTATAAAGGATACTGAGTTGTTAGATTGGATAAAGAAGTACCAAAGAAGAGTTTTGAAGTATAATGCTATAAATGAGTATATAAATTCTAAGTTCAAAGACCCTAATGAGGAAATGCAGAGAATATTAGAGAAGAAACACTTCAGAAACAAACAGAAAGAGATAGAATACATTTCGAAGAAATTGCAATCTTACGATTGGAAAACGTACCCTCATAGGTGTCTTCTTATCTTAGATGATTTCGCCTCTCATCCTTTGTTAAAGAACAGAGAACAAGACATGTGTCGAATTCTTAAGAAGCTCAGACACTTTAACATCTCAGTTGTCATTTGTGTACAGACAGCAAAGAGTTTAAGTAAGGATGTTAAAAGAATACTTACTGACATAATACTTTTCCCCGGATTGTCCGAAGACGATTTCATGGAACTTATGAAAGAGTCCATGGCAGGTAAGTTTGACAGACATGAACTATGGGAGAAGTACAAAGTCATACAAGACCCTCATACTTCTTTCAGAATTCATATCTACGCAAACAAAGTTCAAATTGTAAAAAGTCAAGCTTGAAAAATAAAGAGTTCATTTACTCTGCTTGTTTGAAGTTGTCAAAATACTCTGTTATTTTTTCTTTCAGTAGCGGTAAGTCTTCTTTGAAGGTAAGTATTGTACAACCTTTCATATCATAGTGTGTTTGAGGTAACGTATCTTGAACTATTTGTTTCACATCTTCATTCGGTGTCATTGAAATCGGTAAGTTTTCGCGATAGAACC